ACAAACAGCATTTTGATTTAAAATATTTTATTTTCTTTATCCAGGTAAGCAGTTAGAAATTTCAGCAAAGTCTAACAATGACATTCTTCAAAGTGGGCATAGCCTTTTAAACCCAGGCTATGTATACAATAACCTTGTGGAACTGGTTCAGCCAGATCTTCACTTTCATGAGAGCACAGGGTCTGTTCTTTTCTTTCCAGAGGACTCCTCTCATATTCCTTCGCCAGTTTCTAAGAAAGAAGGTGGATTACAATCAATGCTCCATTCTGGTCTATAGTGCTTCCTGTTGAGGGTATGAAAATATGTATGTGACTAAGACTTGGTCACTCCAAGCCCATCCCCTTTATCGGTACAGCCAAGTACTCATAAAAGGAGCAAGGAAACTTCCCAGTCTCTAATAAGACAACTAATTCTGTACATTTATTGAATCCCATATTGTACCTGTGTTGGCAAAACGTTTAACCTTCATCTAAAAATGACTTCATGTCACAGTAAACACAGAAGACAGAAACCCAGAATGAGGACACTACCAGTAAAAATCTTTTAAAGGATGAGAAGCTGAGCAGTGGGGTATGTGGCTGTAGTTGCAGCTACGGAGGATATTGAGGTGGGAGTTTCCCTTGAGGCCTTGAGTTTCAAGCAATCATGCCTGTGAATAGCTACTACACTCCAGCCTGGGTAAACGTAGCAAGGCTGCAACTCTACAAAAAAGTAAAACATTAGCCAGGCATGGCAGTGTGTGCCTTTAGTCCCAGCTACTTGGGAGGCTGAGGCAGGAGGATCAAGGACGCAGTATGCCACGACTGCACCATTGTACTCCAGCCTGGGTGCTGGAGAGACCCCATTTTCTTAAAAGAAATTGGATACCTTTGTGTTCATTCAAGAGACAACCCAAAAGTAATGTGTACTAAAGACATTTTAGGGGCAAATAAGGATACTTTAATAAAGTTATACCAGGCTTAGGATCTATTTAACATCTTAGAGGGTCATTTTATATGCAAGAAGTCTTATTACATGAATGTTGGACTTTAGTGAACTATGCACATTCATACATCCATAAACAAAATACTTCTAAGATGAATCATCACTAACTGACATGAACTACAATTTCTTTTTGAGGTTTTGGTTTTTTTATGTAAAAGTTGGAGAATTATCACGAGCCACTTCTCATCTATGATGGCAAGCTTTGCAACACAGGTATTTGGTGAAAGAACTTCCCTGTGTTAATGCAGTTTATTGAGTGATTGTAAAGGTCAGCAGCAGGAAAGCATACTATCATGTTTCAGACCGCAGTATGCTTATCTGCTGTAAATTCCAGCCATGTGACCAGACATGGAGGCAGTGTCCCCAAGGGACATGGAAAAGGAGTGGTGTTACTTTCTCTTTAAAGGGGGTGGAAGGTGTAGACTTCAAACATCTGTCTCTGCTATGTCTGTCTCTCCCGGGTTCGCTCACTGACAAAGCTGCCATGTTAACAGGCCCATGTAACAAGGAGCTGGGGTGGCTCATGGCAGTAGTATGAGGAATCTTACACCTGAACCTCACAAGAATTAAGTAAACTGACTCCCAACTTAAATACAACTTGGAGCTCCTTATCTAAGTGCATTGGCCAGGGAAAATTAGCTCCACCCAATGTTCAATCACTTTGTCATCCTTTCTTACAAGACTGTTAGGTATGATGGGTTTCTCTTCAAAGTTTAACTTCCTTGTTCTTTGGTCAACTTCCTCATACATTCCCCACTCCTAATTACCCATTCTGTAAACATTTCTCCCACCAATTCCAACCTGTAACCCGCATCTGTTCCTTATTTGGAAAAGTCCCCCTTACTCCTAGCAACCAGCTCTGTAAACTGCTCTTCCCACTGCTGTAACCCACACCCCTCCTGTTTAACATAGCCAATCGGCCCCAACACTCTTCCCCTTGGGAGAGGAGGCATCAGTGTCATAAATGTCCCCTTAACCAGCTCAGAAGTCTCAAATCTAAAAAAACACTCAAGCCCTTGTTAAGATGACCCTTATGAGGTAGAAAATCAAATTGATCAATTTTTAGGACCCCAATTGTATGGTTGGGTCAAGCTTATGTCCATTTTAGGTATTTCCTTCTTAAAAGAACTATGATCCATAGGGTTGCTATGGTAGTCTGGGAACATGAACACCCTACTGGTCAAAATGTTCCTGCTGCAGAGCAAAAATTCCCAGCCCAAAATCCCAGTGGAGTAACAACGCAGCTCATCGAGAAAATGAGAGACCTTAGGGATATGATAGTCAGGGGAGTTTGGGAGTCAGTATCCCGAACTGAGAATATTTCCTGAGCATGCAACATACAAGGGATGGATGAAGGACCCACGGAATTCCTAAATAGGCTTAAAGAACAGATGAGACAATATGCAGGTTTAGAAATGGAAGACCCACTGCGACAAGGGATGCTAAAGCTTCATTTTGCTACTAAGATTTGGCCAGACATCCCTAAAAAAACTACAAAAGATAGAGAATTGGAAAGATCGTCCCAGAGA